TTTGTAATTATCATTATGCAGTTATTTTATGTGCTTTTTGTATATAATTTGCAAAATAAAAATAATTATGAAAATATGTATACATACTCATTTTCTACAAATGTAGATATGTTTCTCAGCCTTTACAGAATAATAATAGTATAATTCATGTACATAGGCAATAATTTAAACGCATATTCAGTTAAAGTCTAATCTATTCATTTTTACTGTAATCCGTGATCCATTGTTTAATAAAGGAGCGATGGAAACTCCGGGCTAAAACAACGCTGAAAGGATCGCTAGGGTTGCTTGCCCTTAAATCAAGATGATGTGCACCTTCTGGAATTATTATCGCGACTGCCGAAGCAGATAAGTTTCGGATTACACCGCCGCCAGCCCATGGATCCATTAAACCATTACTGAAACGCAGAATGAAAAATACAGTGAATAATTGTGAAAGCTATTTTGCTTCTCAATAATAATCGTTCTATGTACCTAAAGACAATATTTGTCGCGGTTGATAAACGTTCACATCCATATTGTTCACATGCTAAGTTTGGCTGGGGTTTCACAGAAAATTGTTTTTCACAATCTTTACTGTATTCATCGAAATTCCACGAATGGGGTTCAAACATATCATTCACTCCATTCGTACACATAGGCATCACCATTTCAGTGCATGATTGAAAAGGCCATCCACCAGCGTCTAATAGAGGAGTAGAGTTGTTTACGTCCAAACATTTCATTTCGCCTGTATAATTGGTATACACATTAACTGCGTTCTGTACTGCTAGTAATAGTTCTGTTCCCGTTAACGATTCGTTCGTTAAATGGCTACACACAACCTGTAATCAAATTTACAATGCAAGAAATGTTCTGGACTTCCTCACACAAGAATAGAAAGTACTATATCGAGACACGTACGTTAACAGGGTAAGCAGGTAAAGGTGCTAAAAAGCTAGCTTCGTATGGGTAATTTGCCATAGCAAGATTTCCGTAAACATCTTCTAAATATGCTTTTAATTGTTCGACGTCGTTTGTGTTTTTGAGCGGTTGACATAATTCCCAATTATCCGACAACCACTTCTTGCCTTCATCTATTGAAGAAATAATATATTGTTATATTATAGTTATAATTGAGTGATAACAAATGTATTATACCTGTTGACGTTATATTAGTAATAACGCCCCACGATTTACGAATAAGCTCAGCACAATTTGGATCAGCTGCTTTAAAATCTAAACTAACTATGCGTGCAAAGGAATCACACTCTACACTTCCGGTAAATTGCAATATTGGAGCTGAAGATGCGATCGCGCTGTAATAAAGTAATAGTACTATTTAGTAGTATAATCAATTGCCGTTTGTATGAGGTGTATGAGTTCATTCAATTCTTTTCCTGACCCTTGTACAATGTGAGGGTATTTCATTCGTATCCATGCGCTGAGCATACCACCATAAGAACCACCAAAAGCTATAACAGGACTCTGTTTGTATTCTGACTTAGATCTCAAATACTGAATCAAATCAATGTAATCTGCTAAGGCTTGCTGAGATGTTAGATATCCCAAATGATTAGTATCAGCATAAGATTTATTGCCATAGGGCATAGACTCTCCATAATAACGATGTTCAGCAAAGATTAATAAGGCTTCAAATTCTGGTGCTATCTCCCACATAAAACCCTTTACAAGAAGGTATAATAATTTACTTGCAATCTGGATAAAGTTAACTGATATTCAATTTTCTTTCTTACTTACTGTATTTTGAGCAAACGTCTCTATATTGCCTTCATTTCCAGTATAAAAGAAAATAGGTGGGTTCTCTGCCTTTTGCCAAGTGTTATTTACAAGATAACGCAATTTAAATGTATTCGATACTGAAAAACTGAAGTGATCCACCTACAATAGAATGAATGATCACAGACAATTAAATTAGAATTAAGAAATAGCTAATTTTCTGAACAGCTGTTATGCTAGATTAGATACCGGCATGTCAATTGTTTTAATCTCATATTTGTATTTCGCTGATTCGAAATTCTGAACTCGTGGATGTTTCTGATAGTTCCCGCGAAATTTTTGTGAAAATCTGTACTGCGTGCTGGGTTCACAGAACACAAGGAAAATAAAAAGTAAAATATAACGGAGCTCCATCACTGCACGCTACCGAGTCGACTTGTAAATAAATTTGACTAAGTACTTGAGCACACTTGAGCAATCACGAGCTCACGGGCATAGGTCAAGATCACACAAAGTATTATTGTTACAAAAAGACCTTTTCAACATTCAATACTTGATCGCGCACTCATCGCTCATGCTCATAATCGCTCGGCGCGCTGCATATAATCAGCTGTTTCTTCGTCTAGTAACATTTTCCGATTAAATAATCTCTAGATTATCCCTATTACAAATATTTTATGCATGACTAAAAAATCTGACACTTTGTACGAATAAAATGCCAAATGTATACAAACCCGTACAAAACTGTTATACACGTATATATGTTATACATATCGCCTAACAGGTATTGGACTTATATATATTCTTATTTAACGTAAATGTATGGACTAATTGCCATGTATATTAAAATCTATACTATTGTAGGAAAGTGCTGTAACATGTTATAAAAAGAATCTTAATGAAATGGCAGAGAAGACCACAGTGGGAGGCATTCCTGTTGAATGTTTAACTGGAGAGTCTGCAGCAATTTGGTCTGGTTGGCGCATATTGGGGGACAGAGAACTTATTAGAGAAGCGTCTGTGAAAGGCACTCATATTAATCTTGCCTACAAATGCTTAGCTTTTAGAAAAAGTTGTACTATCGAGGATGCTCAGCATTATTTCAACAGAGAAGTAGAAACTTGGTTGACAGAACTCTTAAGAAAACAACAAATTTATAGGGCTTCCCATATTTTAAATAATCTGGTATACATAAATTTGAATTACCAGGCAATATCTATAGCTAAAAGTAGGAGCTAGCAATTCATGCACTTTTTTCTTATAGAACAGAGATCCAGTGGAGCATATATTTAAAGTCTGTATAAGCTGTAAAGATTCTGTGCTAAGGGATTATTTATCACAGTATCTGATAAATGTTACGAGGTTTGAAAGTGAACATATAAACTCATGGAATATAATAAAGAGTATTGTTCAATATGAACAAAAGCATATGTAAGTTTGTTCATAAATAGTGCTTTAAGCAGCGCAGTAAACAAGAGATATAATTCTTCTAGGGTTGAAGATGGTTTAAGCTCCTCCTTGTGTATAGGAGATGTTATGAAGATACCGACAGTCGTGAAACAAGCATTGTGCACTGAAATATGTTTTTCTGTAGTCGGCAATAATCTTTCAGATAATTTGAATAATCATGTCTTGTGGGATTACTTGCTATCAAATAATCGAATTCAACTAATAAAATTTTGGATTGATACATGTTATGGTGGCAATGCAGCGGAAGGAGCAAATGAAATTGATGAAGTATTCAAGTCGTTGATTACCAATTTTAATGTACTGCCAGATATGATTGAAGTTATTGACTTTTCAAATGCTAGTGCTCTTGTAAAAGACCTGGCTAAGAATTATTTATCCAGGTACGTCTATCTACAGTACATTTTGAAAAAGAATTTGCACACACATTCAGCTATATTTATGTTTAAATATATAGGCATGGAATATTTGTACAAACAGAGCGACAAGATATAAAATTGTTATTAGCACGTATTTTTGCTAGTACTATGACAATATCAGAATTTAATACAATATTATCAAGTAAATCGTGTAATATAGATGGGACTGCATTTATAAGAGACATCGATAAAGAATTATGTCTTGCATATTGCTTGAATCAAGTAAATGCACAAAGAGAAAAGGCACAGATTGCTGGTTTATATGATGCCTTGACGAAAATGTGCAAAAGTCAAGACAAATTGTACGATTCATTAATAGAAGGAATTTATGAAACGATTCGCTATCTCTCTGATGATTCTAATGAATATTTAGAACAGAACTTCTTGGTAGTTTTCATATCGGTATTTTCGTATTTATTTAATGAAAATGCAAGGGACGGTCAGAATGAAAATGTGACAATTAAGAATATATTTACAATGAAAAATGACCTGACGTTGGGCGCCTACAATATTTTAAATGAAGTCCTTCAGAGCACATTAAAACAGGTGCCAATGCTTGAAGGTATTATAGAAAACAAATCGAAAGAAGAAGCTACGATTTATGAATTACTAAATGGTTATAAGAATCTGAACGCGGAAAAATTATACAAGTGGCGTTTTAATGATGAGCCAATGCCTCATTTTTCTGATGAGAATCTTGTTAAAAAGTATGGACATACGGAGGAATTAACGTATGAATACTACTTGAAAGAAGCCCGTCCAAATATGGCTCTGTTTAGCTTGAAACTGTCCAAAGGAAAGATAATTGGGCATGTTTCTTCCAGGAGGTAAAGAAAACTATATCCTTTCTTTTGTTGCAGTATTATATTTATTAATGCTTTTAGAAAACAGAAAGCAGCCTTATACGCACAAATTCTTGCTTTACGAAATTTGGATAAACCGGAAGTATTATGTACTTGTATTCCGTTCATTGAAATGCTAGGGATGGATTCGGAAAATTTGAGGCTCCACATAACTGTGGCAAAATATGTTCGTAAGGAAATGAATATCACTATTGGTAATTAAATTAATTACGTATTTAACACCAACTTAATTAATGTATTCGCTAGTACTTATATTACATAAATTTTCAGAGAACTTATTAGAAAATGTAATACACAGAAATGAAGAAGATTTAAAAACAGTTTTATCTTATCTTGAGATTAGTTTCCAAAAAAATTTAATTGATGATTTAGTCGAAGATAATCAACGATTTGAAAATGCATTAAAGACATGGGACATTATCGTACGATTTGCAAATGCACACAATTTTTCTTTACCAGTCACTTTATTAAAATATTTAGCAGGCCAAAACCATTGGTTCGAATTTGTTCTAGTTTGTCATATCTTTGATTATCCCTTGAGCCAGGTAATAGTTATATGTTTTATTACATGTTCCGAATTAAGTAAGAATGGAAGACTGGACATTGCATTGATTTCAGGTTTTGGAAAATACAAAACATTTCGAGGACGTGATATTACGGGAACACTTGTTAACTTGTTTGAGCAATAAGAAGCTTGTAAAGTCTCAGCTAATTTGTAATGATCTGAAGATAACATCACGAGATACTAGGCAATCGTTATATTGCAAAATTGGAGTCAAGCAAAGTGTATGCAGCAAATATTTCGTGCGTCATACAAATTGAATCATGTATTATTATATATTTCTGTCAAACAGGAATCACCTACTTCTGGTTCTCCAGTATCGATAGATTCTGCAAGCATTTCCGATTCTCAAAGTATATGCGAATACAATTCGAGCGATGATATTTGTTTTACAAATGATGACCTATGGTCGATCATTCTAAAATGTCACGAAAGTCCAGATCCACCTGGTGCTTTAATAAATTCATCCCGATTGACTTCAAGACCTTTCCTCACGGTTTTAGCAACTAGTTACGAGGTATTTCACAATAAATTTGATATCTTAATCTCTATCATTAAAGATTCACTTTTTAGCCATCTTCAACTGCAGCATACTGTTATTCGTGGATAGCAATATCTGCTGCAGATGAAGAGATCCTTAATAAATATAATGAATGTTTGGAACAACAAGTGTGGACTGCAAATCAAGTTTCTGATTTAATATATCATATGGTAACACACGGATATATTAGCGTTCTCAATAAGGCATACAAGATCTTTATGCCGGTAAGTATACTATTGATGGATAAATATAAATCATTCTTTAAGACGTCACTCAATCTTTTCAGGAATATCCACTCAATTTATTTTTCGAATTTCTCGCACAATGCGTAGTTTATGGTGACTTCAAAGAATGTCAGCAAGAGTTATCGAATTTCAAGACAGAATGTATAAATTTCAAATGCAATGTATATACTTTATACTTAATATCTCTGCATACACAAAACAATATTATAATAACTATCCATTTTTTAGAAGGCTATGGATTGGAATTGCTCGGATTCTACATACTTGAATAATCTGTACTGGGTCGCAGTTATAGCGACTAAATGTATTATTGCAACGCTTTCTCATAATTTACAAAGTAAACATTTGCAAATAAGATTTATTGAAATTTTGATAAGATGTAATTTCTTTGCAAACTTTCCAGGTACGTTAATTTTATATAATCAAATAATGAGCTGAAATGACTTTATTATACATTACAGTTTCGATCTCGAATTTCCAGTCTATTCCACAAATTATAAAAATTCTACAGTGAGTAAGGTCACATTGAACTTCGCTGTATTTGGAATATCAGATAATGTATATAATTTTGATAAGGAGATTTCGAGATGTGCCGATAGTTTACTAGAACTTGAAGATTATGATAGCGCCTTGGAACTATCACATGCAACAGGATTGAATTCATCTGAGATAATTTTAGCTCAGGTATGAACATTCTATTTCCTGTGCAAAGTATTTGTATATTTTCTTACAATTCTTATATAATTTCAGTATCGGAGCAGGTTTAAAAGTTACATGCTTCAGAATGACAAGATTGAGGATAGCTTTTGGAATGAATGTGCATCCAGCTTTAAAAAATATCAGGTTTCATATGAAAAAGCGGCTGCATTTTTTATTGAGCACGCTGAGAAAGTGACTTCGCACAAAGAAAGGTATAGAATTGTTACTCCTTGTAGTTAGATTGATCTCAAGTGAAGTGCAATAAATGATACATGTGTCACAACAGATACGAGATATTAAGCTTAGCTTTTGAAACGTTAAAAAACGTTGAAGCAGAACAGGAAACTATTAACACGCTAGAAATAGCAATGTGGAAATCGTGCATATTAGCCGATCCCGAAAATGTACACCTGGAGAGAGGTCCATATATTTTCAATAAACTAAAGATAGAATTGTTATCTGGATTAGACAAATTGGAATTTGGTTACGCATTAATTAATCCAAATGAGAAAAATGCAACAGAGAAGTTAATTAACAAACTAATCGATTTAGGTAAATTAGATACAGCACTAAGGATAAGCACAATTTTCAATTACAAACATAAGGTGAGTTATATTACGCTTTCGTTAATAAATGTTTGTGTTAAAATATAATTTTCTTTACAGGATTTAGAAATTTTGATGTTATGCTTAAGTTTAGCCGAGAATGAAATCCTTCCAAATGAATTGACTGTTGAACAGCAAAATCTTTTGAAAGAAACGAATAAAAATAAACAGCAAAAATACAGTGCCTTAAAGAATCGTGGATTGCAGAGATTTTCTTCAACCTCATCATGTATTTCTTTATTATCTTAATATTTCGAAAGACTATCAAATATCAGATATTTACAGCATGTTTTTTACAGTGATTGCTTCAATCAACGTAAATGAAATAACTAAGCAAAAGGAGGAAGGTCTCCGTAAAACGCAATTGGAATGTCTATCAATTTTACAAAGATCACTTGACACCCTAGAACACGGGCTAGATATATGTCTCAGGATTGTTTTATGTTACAAATTAGCAATACAACTCAGTAAAACTTATCAAATGTTATTAACTCTCAATGTCCCCATTAAGTTTTTACAAGAAGTTACGGAAAGCGATGTTAAAGATAAGTCTGAAGTGATTTGCGACATAATCACTGCATATAAAATAGATAATGATACCGTTGCAACTTTTTTGGCCGAAAATATCACAACGACTATCACCCGGGCTGTAGAAGGTACCTCCGGAATAATTTCCAAATTTGCTATTACGAATTAACACATTTCGTTTTCTAGGTGGACATCAAGATAATGTTTACTTATGGGGATATTCTTTGAATACAAATTTTCATGTAATTACGGAATTATGCAATGATGTTTCACTCCTTGGTTGGAAAATATTAAAAACTGCGAATAAATTGCTAGGAAAATTCCACAGTGAAAAGAGACACGGTATTGTTATGAAATTGAATTATCATCACATTCTAGTATCATTGAAATTTATCACGTAATTTTGTTTCTTTAGCATTGACTCTGAAGACTGTTGTGGAATTATTAATACCAGCACACGATTGTTTTACAACTGCTTGCAATATGGAAGGAATAGCGTCGGTGCTACGTAAATGCCAGAATCTTGCAAACATTTTACAAAATTTGAAATGTTGGACACTATTAGTACGACGATCTATTTTTTAAATATACAAGTATTTATATGCATGCGGGACAAACATAAATACAACTGTTAAATGATCGTAGGTGCGCCTTGTAACAGGAGTCGGTCGTTTCACGGAAATGAATTACGTATTTCAAATACTGAAAGAAAACGACCAATTTGAGTTTTTGCTTGGAAAAGGATTAGACAAGGTCTTCTCATTTTTTCCGTTCTTCTTTTCCAGATATCTTTAAGTCTCGAATATAATTTGAAATACATTACAGGTGATTGGATTGAAAACAGCGCTTCTGGAATTTTTAAAACGTAACTGTCCTGAAAATAAAGACCTTTTTACCCTAGTTGCGTTACACTTTCGATTATATCAAGAGATCGCGCTTATGTGGGAAAATGAGGCTAAATGCGTAATAAGTGCATTGATATCAGATGCAACGAAAGAACAGGGAAAACTACAGAGCACCGTTCATCATGGGATACAATTCACTAAATCCGAGAATGTTCAGAAACAATTAAACTTAGCTGTAACTAACTACACTCATGCAACGCAATACTATCTGCAGGTAAAGTGTACATAACATATACCTGTTATTTAAAAATTGTATCAAAACACTTTTATTTTACTCTTTATTTATAGACATATTTTTACAGGCTAATAAATTAAATCTCGCTAGTCAGAGTTCTGATCAAGTGCAATTAGTCACCCTTCAACTTTCACTTTTTAATTCAGCGTCTTCTCATCAACAAGTGATCTGTATTCTTAATTTAAAGCCTGAGGATATTGATAAAGTATTATGCAATAACTTAAATTTCTCTCAGGCTCTTATCATCATACATGCTTACAATCATCATATAGATTGGGCGAATCTTATTTACAATCGTTGCATATTAAATGGAGAAACGAAATATCTAAAAGATTTTATAGCAGTGAACAAGCTAACTCCCGGTCTCGCACAAGATTGTGTTCGAAGGTAAGTTAATTAAAGAGATCTCTTCTCTCCATTTTAATCATCAACTGTTATACTGCAGGTACAGATTGGAGAAAAGCATTACTCATACCATGACAGACAACATGAAAATATTAATTTCTGAATTATCAGACGTGGAGTGTAAATATGCTTTCGCAAGTCAATTGGGATTTAAAAGCATTATAGAAACGATGCTCAATAATCCTATGATAGGCGCATACCTCAAGGATACTGTATGGAAAAAAGGATATAGTGCTATCTGAATATTTTATTATTCGTAAAAATATCACATCCAAAGTATATCTACGTTTATCTTATTTTTTGCATAAATAAATATTTTTTATAATTTACTCTATTAATAAACCTACTTCCTTTATTTTTAAAATACATATGTAAATAAATGTTTATACATTATTATTATATTGTTTTTATTAATCCTCTTTTTATTTTACAAAACAATACTTTATTATTGTACTACGATCTATCTATGTCTATTTTATTTGTTCATAAACTTTTAAATCAAACATAATTAGAACTCTATCACGCATGTGCAAGAGTTCTGTGTTCTGCACTTTCTGCACATGAGCGGGTGTTGGTTCTTCTACGCGGTCTTCAGCAGTGGTCTTCCTAGTTTATTTTATTTTGCATGACGGTAGATTTATCCTTAGAAGGAGGGCGTGCAATTTTCACGATCTCCGCTTGCATATTTTCGTGATAATGCCAAAGAGAAAGAATCAGGCCCTCATAGATTCTGATAGTAGTGGCAGTGCGTCGGAAAGTGGTTCAGATTTGGACAATGTAAATGATATAACCTTACCATGAAAATCTTATGTTGCATGTTTATTATCTATTATTTTACATTTTCGATTAACTCCTCGTATTGTTTTACGATAGTCAAATGTAGCAGTAATGTGATATTACATAAAACACCTCTTAAATCTTTGAGAAAAAGATGCATACACGGAGTTTCTTTTACATAACCTGCTAAATAGTATACATACAGATTCAAACACTCAAATAATCAAACTCAAATACATATAGAAATCTATATTTATAATTTAGCCAATTTATCTACATCTAATGCATGCAAATTTAAATTAGGACTTGTTGTCTCTTGCCAAAAAGAAGAAAGGCAAGAGTCAAGATGATTCCCAATCAAATGAAGAGACTAGTTCGACGAAGAAGGATAATAAACATGAATCAGAGACATCAGATTCAGATGATGATTGGGGTGCAAAGTCTGGTAAAAGTAAGAAAAAGAAAGTGCCAAATAAAAGAAATAAACGAAAGATGACGAAGTCTAGCAGTGAAGAAAGTGCTAGTGAAAAAGAGCCTGAAAAGGTGTCTGAACCAGAAGAAGGTAGTTAGCAAAAATTAACATATCAAGATGCATTTTTTGGCAAATTAAAGTGCACTGAGATATATTACCAAGGAAACTTCTATTTCCAGGTGAAGTCTCAGATTCAGATGCTAGCGTTTCTGACTCTAGCCAAGAAGAATTCAATGATGGCTATGATGATAAATTAATGGGAGATGCAGAGGATCAAGCAAGACTTGCTCAAATGACAGAGAAGGAGAGAGAACAGGAAATATTTAAACGCATAGAACAACGTGAAATTATGAAAACAAGATTTGAAATTGAGAAGAAGTTAAGAATGGCCAAGAAACAAGAACTGAAAAAACAGAAAGAATCAAGGAAGAAAGAAAAAAGTACAGAAGAAAAGAAAGTGGATAGAGCACCAGATCCTAAAGAGAGGAGTAAGGACCGTAAGAAGACAATAGAAGAAAAGCAAGATAAAAAGTTCCATGCAATGTCTCTTTTAAAAGCAAGGCGTGAGGAGAAAAAGGAACGAGGTAAAATAAAAAATTCATTATTAAAGTAATTTTAGTTTATTAAAACCTGATATATTTTATTCTCTTCTTTTTTATCAGAGGAGAAAGAGAAGCAAAGAATTGAACAACAGCAACAACAGTCAAAGGATATTGAAGAGGAAGAATTGGAAGATGATCATAAAGGAGGTGCAAATAAAACAAAACTTAAGGCTTCTGATATTTATTCAGATGACAGTGGTTCATCAGAGAGCGGCGTTATTAATCCTCTTTTTATTTTACAAAACAATACTTTATTATTGTACTACGATCTATCTATGTCTATTTTATTTGTTCATAAACTTTTAAATCAAACATAATTAGAACTCTATCACGCATGTGCAAGAGTTCTGTGTTCTGCACTTTCTGCACATGAGCGGGTGTTGGTTCTTCTACGCGGTCTTCAGCAGTGGTCTTCCTAGTTTATTTTATTTTGCATGACGGTAGATTTATCCTTAGAAGGAGGGCGTGCAATTTTCACGATCTCCGCTTGCATATTTTCGTGATAATGCCAAAGAGAAAGAATCAGGCCCTCATAGATTCTGATAGTAGTGGCAGTGCGTCGGAAAGTGGTTCAGATTTGGACAATGTAAATGATATAACCTTACCATGAAAATCTTATGTTGCATGTTTATTATCTATTATTTTACATTTTCGATTAAATCCTCGTATTGTTTTACGATAGTCAAATGTAGCAGTAATGTGATATTACATAAAACACCTCTTAAATCTTTGAGAAAAAGATGCATACACGGAGTTTCTTTTACATAACCTGCTAAATAGTATACATACAGATTCAAACACTCAAATAATCAAACTCAAATACATATAGAAATCTATATTTATAATTTAGCCAATTTATCTACATCTAATGCATGCAAATTTAAATTAGGACTTGTTGTCTCTTGCCAAAAAGAAGAAAGGCAAGAGTCAAGATGATTCCCAATCAAATGAAGAGACTAGTTCGACGAAGAAGGATAATAAACATGAATCAGAGACATCAGATTCAGATGATGATTGGGGTGCAAAGTCTGGTAAAAGTAAGAAAAAGAAAGTGCCAAATAAAAGAAATAAACGAAAGATGACGAAGTCTAGCAGTGAAGAAAGTGCTAGTGAAAAAGAGCCTGAAAAGGTGTCTGAACCAGAAGAAGGTAGTTAGCAAAAATTAACATATCAAGATGCATTTTTTGGCAAATTAAAGTGCACTGAGATATATTACCAAGGAAACTTCTATTTCCAGGTGAAGTCTCAGATTCAGATGCTAGCGTTTCTGACTCTAGCCAAGAAGAATTCAATGATGGCTATGATGATAAATTAATGGGAGATGCAGAGGATCAAGCAAGACTTGCTCAAATGACAGAGAAGGAGAGAGAACAGGAAATATTTAAACGCATAGAACAACGTGAAATTATGAAAACAAGATTTGAAATTGAGAAGAAGTTAAGAATGGCCAAGAAACAAGAACTGAAAAAACAGAAAGAATCAAGGAAGAAAGAAAAAAGTACAGAAGAAAAGAAAGTGGATAGAGCACCAGATCCTAAAGAGAGGAGTAAGGACCGTAAGAAGACAATAGAAGAAAAGCAAGATAAAAAGTTCCATGCAATGTCTCTTTTAAAAGCAAGGCGTGAGGAGAAAAAGGAACGAGGTAAAATAAAAAATTCATTATTAAAGTAATTTTAGTTTATTAAAACCTGATATATTTTATTCTCTTCTTTTTTATCAGAGGAGAAAGAGAAGCAAAGAATTGAACAACAGCAACAACAGTCAAAGGATATTGAAGAGGAAGAATTGGAAGATGATCATAAAGGAGGTGCAAATAAAACAAAACTTAAGGCTTCTGATATTTATTCAGATGACAGTGGTTCATCAGAGAGCGGCGAAGAGGAAGAAACTACTAAAGCATCATCTCACCGCAGATCATCTTCAAGTGACAGTAGGGACACTGATTCAGAAAATGACAAAAAGTTAGTAATTGAATTTCTTTTTAATCTAATATAAAAGTTTGGTGCTAGCTCTTCTTTTGTAAAAAGAAATTCAACGGGTCTTTACAGATCTGTTACGAGTACTAAGGCGAAAGTGAAGAAACCAATATACGTCAGTACCAAGGAAGATCTTAATAAAATTAGATTATCTCGTCATAAAATGGAAAGATTTGTACATCTACCATTCTTTGATAGAGTAGTACAAGGCTGTTTTGTAAGGATTGGTATTGGGAACAATAATGGGAAACCTGTATACAGAGTAGCTGAAATTAGCGGTGTTTGTGAGACAGGAAAAATTTATCAGCTTGGTGGTACGAGAACAAATAAGGGGTTGAAATTAAGACATGGAGCTCAAGAACGTGTGTTTAGATTAGAATTTGTATCGAATCAAGAATTCACTGAATCCGAGTTTTTTAAATGGAAAGAGACTTGCGCTTTGCAAGGTATATCTATGCCCACTTTCGAAGAAGTTGAACAAAAATTAAAAGACATTAAAGAAGCTTTGGTATACGAATTTAAGGAAGAGGATATAGAAAAGATAGTACGAGAGAAAGAAAGATTTAAGCAAACTCCATATAATTATGCAATGAAAAAGGCACAGCTTATGCGCGAAAGAGATGCGGCCAATTGTAGAGGAGATGACGAAACTGCTAGCCGACTTAATCAAGAATTAAGTGAGCTTGAAGAACGTGCTTCTGAGCTCGATAAAATGCGGACCGCAACTATATCTAGTATATCTTATATTAATGATCGTAATCGAAAGAAAAATGTTGAAGAAGCAGAAAAAGCAATTATGGTAAATTAATAATATACGAAATTCATGAAACAATCTTTCATAATTCGTCTGTTATTGATCTGTACTTTTTATATAATAGGAGGAAATTAAAGCCAACAAAGGCAAGAAAGTAGATGACCCATTCACTAGACGAAGTACTAAACCCAGGATGGTGTACAAGCCAGAGGATGATGAGGTGTCGTCTAGTATCCCGATAAATGATAAAACCAGTCCCCAACAAACTGAAGCAGTAGCAGTGAATAACGAAAAAGAAAACGGTCAAGAGACTAAGAAGAAACAAAGTACTGAAGACTTATTTAATGCTCACGACTTCGACATTACGATAGATTTGGAAGTACCAATTCCAAGTAAGTCATATTATGTTTAAAACGTGTTTTATTTCCATCTTGAAAATATTCTTAACGTACTCATGGTATATTTTTCAGACAATCCCGTTAGTGTATTACCCAAGCCTATTAGTAATATTAAAGATACTGGACCTCGACGATCCTTAAATTTAGAAGATTACAAGAAAAAACGGGGACTCATCTAACGTTTTGTTAATTTTAGAAGTGAAAAAAATCAGACCATAATGGTCTGGTGAATTGTAAAAAAAAAAATGAGACGAAAACGTGTAACAGTTGACTGAGAAACTAGCTTTTACATAGTTCTCATATAATATTACAGTTTCGTTCTATATATAACAAAACGTCTCTCTTTTAGGAACGACGTACATTATTCTTTACAATATTATTCTGTTACAAAGTCATAATTAATTATTGTATTCTGTACGAAAGAATACGATTTCAATGTTCGTTGAAATATTCTTGTTTTTCGAAGAACACTGTTAAGAAGTACTTAAGCGAAAGTATTACAGGTTGAATTATGTAAGAACTTTTTTATTACATTTGTTTTGTTCTTTCACCGATTTATCTACGTTCTAACAAAAGAAAACTTAGCTTGTGCTGGTGAAGATAAAATAAATGCAATAGTTTTCTAATATTAATACTGAATATACAACTTTAAGAACAAAATCTAATGTGGAACTATGATTTGCGTACGTTATCAATCACATTTTTCTGCGTCCTGTATATTGAAATAAAAGTACGATCGCTACTTGACAAAGGAGAAACAAATCTGGAGTAGACGTAAATATTACATTTTTACTAATTATGATATACATAATTTTTTTAATGAGAGCGTTATG